AGCAAAATGTCTATGTTTTGCAGAAAAGTGGCAGGGGCAGCCTTAACACTAAATGACAGGCAGATGAACCGGGAAAAGCCACGATGAGTGTTAATCATTAGAAGCTCCCAGGGATCTTCAGGTACCTCATTTTGAAGACATGCACCAGATAGATTCATTGCAATGAAAAAGGCTCCGTTAGTTACTCTAGTAAAAACATCTTTCGGCATTAGTAGGGGATACTCGTACGTGTCCAGAGCAGCACTGAGATCGGTTGACAAATTGACACAGACACAATTTTTACCGGTTGCTTTCTTGTCAACAGCAACTGGCGCAGCCCATAGAAAGTAGTATATTGCTTGGAGAACACTGTCAGGCTGAAGATGTTCCAGTTCGTGGTCGACCAGTGTGAGTGTAGCACAAGGTACTGGTCGTTGTGATCAGAAGACAGACCTTGCATTGGATTAAAGACAGAGACTAACTTTCGTCTTGGTCCTCTGAACTAGACGAATAGACTACTATGTTTGTATGCTCCTCCGCCTCCTGCACCAGGCCACGCGGGAGTTGCGCTGGGTAAACACGGGGCCAGATCAGGGTACGACATTTGTTGCTTCGACTGTAAAGCCACTAAAATTGCCACACATAAGAGGCGTGGTGGCACGCCTAGGTGCAGGTTAGCGCCACATTAGCCATCGGCGTCCAATTGGATGACTGACCTGTTCGGACAGTGGGCCGATGCATAGCAGAGGAAGGAGAGAGGTCGACTCTGCGGACTCCGTCCCCACGGCACTTCAGCGCATATTCCTCAGTACATAGTGAGTTAAATGCAGTGGCTTGGGAGGCTGCCAACCGACGGAATAACTCGGTCCCTCGTTCAGAACGGAGGGTCAGGCTGCAATAAATTCTTCATTATATGACCTTTATGACACTCCCACTTAGTTGGAATATGAGCAAACTTTTATCATTTCTCTAAAAATCTGGTACACCACGCGTGGGCCAGGCATTTGAGACACATGTAGGCATACTGTTTAACTTCGTCAGCAATTACGCCTGACACCGCCTCCAGTCTTCTTGATTCTGTCTTGACACAGGCCTCTGAAGCTGATCGGAGTCCGACAGGCGTTATTGGGAATACGCAACCATAGCAAATGCTAACATCGGAGGTGCAGCGACAGGTCCATGTGCATTCCCACGCCAAACTGCTTCCCTTTATTGCTGTTGTGTGAAAATCTAGTCAGTGCCGATAGAAGCGAACAGGCGAGTCTCAGGAAGCAGTTTAGAAGAAGAAGAAGAAGAAGATGCTATCACTAGAACAAGAAGTCTTTTGGCCTGACGTTTCGGATTCCCACTCAAACCCATCATCAGAGGCAGTTGCAAATAAATGTAGTGGAGACACAAAGACTGCAGTATTTATAGTACGTAGCTGCCGTGGGGCCACATGCGTCCTATAATTGACGACTCACGCGATCACCGCTGGGGGTCGTAGTTGAGGCGATGATGGCTTGCCAGTCCGCGTCCGAGTCGTTAATTGTCGCAATTCCATCATTCTTGTTGGAAGTTGGCGTGATAATTACTCGGGACTCATAGCCAGCGCGGTCCTGCAACGGTTGGCGTCGTCGGTTTTCTGACACTCGGTCATAACATCGGGTCCAAATGGGGGAGGAGAGAGGGCGGTAGATGCAGCGAAAGTCGGCCATCACTATAATCTAAGTCACGCGTAAGTCACCATACCCGCTCTCACCCTGCTGTGGAGCACGCGTGGACATCGTCGAAAGTAACGGTCGAACTGTCGGGCGTGTGTGCGGCTGGGGTGTATGGGTGTCCGATTATGGGTCCACGTGATGGTCGTAGTGAGTCGCTCACTTGCCTACAGGTGTAGATTACGGCAAGCTCCCATATATTGGCACCAAACTCTCCCATGTGGCTCCTCGGAGCTAGGCTATGCCTAGCGGCCACACCCCCATAACCGTCTCGACCGGCGAGCTAATCCAGGCTAGGTTATTCGAGTGTGCATCTCCACACACGGTAACTCTGCTCCGCTCCCACCATCGCTGGCCGGACGGACCACCGCCTCGACACCTCCGAGATGAGGCTTCGTCAGCAACCCTGCAGGAGGCCACAAGATAAGTGACCCCCAGCTCTGGTATCTGTCTTTGGCTTGTTCTTGATTGTTTGCCTTAATCTGTTTGTGTTTGTCCTTGTTCCAAGCTAAATGTCGTCCTGTTGAATTTGTCCGCTCACTGTCTACATTTCAGCAATCAGTTAGCCTAGAGAGGGATGGGTAAGTCTGCTTCCCGTCTCTCTTCCCTTCCCCCTCCCCCTTCCTCCCATTCAAAAGTCCTACGGCGAGAGCGACAGCGATCACGTATGTGGTCCATGTTTACTCGGGCCGTTTTCCTACTAAACAAAGTCGTAACCCATAACGGAGTCCGGCAGCCGTCTGGGATGTCTGGGCAGCCTTGTTTAGGGAGAGCACTGCTTACCCCCGCGAATGGGGACGGGGCTAGAAAAGGTACCCTCAAAAAACGCCGGGATTTCGTCCTCTACGCGCTGATTGTGGCTTACAGACGCAAAACACGGTCGAAGCAATCAAACAAGAAACAATACTCTCTCTATCTTCCCTCTCCTCCTCACCCTACCCTCCGTCCCACCCCACAGACCGCTATGGTGAGTCTGTGGCGAGTTACCAGACGAATTCACCTGCGAGAACCTAATCCAGTTTTATTTTACAGAATTGCTTATTTCAACGTGATGAATACAACTCGGCTAGACAACCCCGCTTCACTGGCGTGCTCCGCTGTCGTGCTCTGCTGCCAGATTATTTTACGCCCTGAATATCAATATTCTTCACTAACCGGTTTTGCTTACTGTTCTTAATATTTAGGGCTCATGAGATGTCATTCGTTACTCCGTGAGAACATTATTATTTGCGTCATTGGTGACTCTCGCCGTTAACGCAGACTTTATACCTTTCTCTGTCATAATGCATAACATTTAACGTACTATTTATTTGTGAATTTTCACTCCACTTGCGCCTTCTTTTCTCGAGAATTTTCTCGATACTGTCGCTTTTTTTTATTTTCTCAGAAATTATCTATAAACTTGGAGTAGATTAGTATATTTTAAGTCTATAGGCTTAGATATTGTGCCATCTCTATTTTGCCTATTATGTCTCACTCCAACCAACAACTTGATGTTCCCTCCCAGTCCCTCCATGCCGTCAATGTTATCTTGTCTGAACTCTGGTAACATGTTCTAGAAATTTATTTCATCCTCATCGAAGCAGCATTTTATTCTGCTAACGTCACCAAGGAGCTGACGAAGTACCACAAACTTGTGGAGGTTCTTTCCGCTAGTGTTATCTTCCAAGTCCAGTCCTTGTTATCTTATCCCCTGCAGATGCTCCCTATTCCACGCTAAAGGTAGAAATCCTTCAACTTAGTGCTGTGTCCGGCCGACAGCGCTATCACCGGTTGATTAAGGAGGAATCACTGGATGATCGGAAGCCCTCAGAATTTCTACATCGAATGCGTTCTCTCCCTGGAGACATGCGGATTAACGAGGTGTTTCTAGAGCGCCTGCCCGCGGATGTTCAAACAACTTTTGCGTCCGGTTCTCAAGCTCTAATGGTTTCGCAGATAGCTGAAGTGGCGGATCGAATGATAGAGGTGCAACAGTTCCAACCGCTCCCCATTATCCACGGCCCCACATCCTCGTCGACAGTGAATGAGCAGTTAATCAAGAAGATGTCAGCCGCGGCGGGTGAGATGGCCTCCCTTAAACTACAGCTTGCCCACCTTACTTCCATTCGCTCACCTAGCCGTCGTTGTTCTCCCTCGCGAACTCGGGCTGCCGATATTAGCTGATATCATACCAATTTCGGTGCAAAGACCCGTTGCTGTTCCAAGCCCTGTTCTTATAAGTCGAAAAAGGGAAACCAGTTAGCCAGTGAATAGACGCGACCGTTTTCTTTGGCTCTTCCGGCTCTGGTCGCGCCTTCTATGTCTGCGACAGTGTGATTTGCAGAAGTTTCCTTGTGGACACCGGAGCCCAAAGCAAAGTTGTCCATCCAACTCCAGCCGACCGTCGTTTCTCCAGCCCTGGTTTTACCTCTAAACTGCCAAATGTTTCCCCAATCCCACTTATGGCAGTTGTCCCTCACCCTAGACATTGGCTTTCTTCGGTCTTTCTCCTGGGTCTTTGTGATTGCCGATGTTCCTCATGCATTCCTCGGCTCAGACATTCTTGCAAACGTGCCAGACGTCTCGCAGTACGATTGGTCTCTATATTAATCGTGCAACTCCTTTCACTACCTCCTGCAGTCTATCTGTCTTGGATACAGTTATTGCTAGCCCCTTTCGGCAACTGCTTCTTGAACAACCCAACGTAATCAGCCTTTAGTTTCGCAGCGAAGTTCAATATGACGTTGTGCACCATATTCGCACCTCAGGTCCTTTGTGTTCGCTCGACCTAGACGACTAGCAACGGCCCTTTTTCAGGTAGCGAAGGCGGATTTTGAAAACATGCTGCAACTGGGAATCATTCGACCGTCCGAGAGCCCCTTGACGTCCCGCCTTCACATGGTGCCCAAGACGACATCAGGCGACTGCGGACCCTGTGGCGACTATCGTACCCTCAACCACGCCACCATTCCCGATCGGTGCCCTGTGTCTCATTGCTAGGATTTCGCTGGAGCCCTTTTCAGCAGAAGGGTTTTCTCGAAGGTTGACTTAGTGTGTGCCTTTCATCAGACCAATGTCGACCTTGACCTCCCGCCCACTCACCACAAAACCATCAAAGCCGTGCAGCAGCTCTCCGGCGGGAAAGCGGCCGGATCGGATGCAATCCCTGCGGAGATCTACTAACGCGATGGTCCCAAATCATGGGTCGCCTGACGGCGCCCTTCCAGGAGATGTGGCGTCAAGGAGAAGTCCCTCAGAATGTCAAGGACGCCACAGACGTCCATCTCTATAAGCGGAAAGGTAACCGCCTGCTCTGCGACAATCACCGAAGGATCTCTTTGCTGAACATCGCCGGGAAAATCTTCGCTCGCGTTCTCCTCAACCAGCCTTGAGAGGACGGGAGGTGGAGGTCGACGTTGGTCTCCACTTGAGGCAAACGGGCAGTGGCGGAGTCGGATATGGTGGAGGTACGTTTGAGTACGCCTTTGAAGTGCTCGGTCCATCACTGTAGAACTTGTGTCTTCTTAGTGTAGTAAGGTACTGCCGACGGTGCTGAGAAGAGGAGAGGCAGCTTTGGCTGTGGGACCGCAGACAGCCTTGATCGCGATGAAGAGGTCCTTCCATTCGTTGCGATCAGCGCAACCTTGGACCACCTCCCCCTTGAGAGCTGTCCAAGCCTCCTGCTTTCCCCCAGCCGCTGTTGCACAAAGCTGCGACTATGGTAGAAGGCTGCTCTGTTGTCGTCGGTGGTGCGATCGACGCAGGCTTTGTACAGGCAGTTCTCGGCGATCAGGTTGCTGGTGGCGGCGTCGTTGTCATCGGACCAGTCCTAGTGTTGACGGAGTGCGCGACCGAGGATAGCCAACAACGTCGATTGGACTGTGTCCCGCAGTTGACACTATAGGTTTTCCACAGAGGCGTTCTTTTTAGCGGCCGCGGCGGCAGTAGCGACTGGAAGGTTGGCTAGACGTTGAGCCAGCTCATTGCTGAAATGGAGAGGTTGGTCAGGCAAAGTCAACAAAGCAGTATTCAACTTACTTGGGGGTCGTTTACTTTGAGGTCTCCTGCGAGGTTGTAGGCGAATCCTCTTCTTGGAGATGACGCGACGATGGTCGATCCACTTGTCGGCACCCGGGATCGCCTTTGTCACCAGCGCATCCCGCTGGTCTCGCCTCCAGACAAGAACCTAGTCCAGCAAGTGCCAGTGTCGCGACCGAGGATGCGTCCAGGTGGCTTTATGTCGCGTCGGAAGGCGGAAGGTGTTGGTGAGGATGAGGCACTGTTCTGTGCAGGTTCCTAGGAGGAGTAGGCCATTGTCATCGGATCCATCGAGACCATATGGACCCAGTACTCCTCTTCAGGCAGCATGGTCTATGTAGACGCAGGCGTTGAAGTTACCGAGGACAATCAGCTAATCCGCCTTCGGCACAGTCTCCAGGAAGGCATGCAGGTCCTCGTAGAATTTGTTCTTTGCAGCATCAAGGCTGATCACCGGGGAAACGTAGACGCTGGCGACGGGGCAAATTTGCCTCCTTGGAGAGGCTCATCAGGCGATCGCTGATGCCGTGCGGCAGACAGAACAGTCGTCCCGCGATGTTGTTCCGAATGGCAAAGGCGACGTCCACGTCCCGTCGTTCTGCCTTGGGGAGACCGCTCCGGAAGAAGATGTAGCCGGCGTCCCCCTCCTCTAGTTGGCCTTGTTCGGAATGCGACGATGTCCACTTTGTAGCGCGCCAGTTCCAGAGCCACTAGCGCCGTCCTACGTTCCGGTCGGTTGCTCCTCGGATTGTCTAGAAGGGAACTAACACTCCAGACTGCTAGAGTGAGCAGACCCACCATGCCAGTCTGGCGAATGAGGCGGCGGGGAGGAGAGGAAGAAGAAGAAGGAGGAGGAGGAGGAGGAGGAGGAGAAGAGTGTGTTGTTGCTGTTTATTTATTGGTTGTTTCGACCGTGAGTTTAACGTCTGCGGCCACGGTCAGTGTGCAGACGGCGCGGTTCCCAAGCACTTGTTTAGGGCACCTTTTCTAGCTCCTTTCCCCGCGGAGTGAACAGTGCCACCCTAAACAGGGCTGTTCAGTAGTGTCAGGTGCTGCCGAACTCCACTATGGGCCGCGTCTTTGGTGTAGTGGATGAAGGACCCGAATTGCCTGGAGAGCCTACGACATCGTCGTAAGCTTGTGGCCTCCTGCGGCGTACCAGGCGGATATCCTCACCTGGTTTAGCCCGCTGGCCGAGGCGGTTACCAGGATGTGGCCGCTACGCACAGCCTAGCATCGGAGAGCCACAGTTGAAAGTTGGATGCTAACAAATAAACGTTAGGTTTAATCTGCATCTGCAAGCAAGTGAGCGACCTACTACGACCGTCACGTGAAACCACCGCTGGACACCCCTACACCCCATACACGCACACACACACACACACACACACACACACGACAGTTCGACCGTCGATTTCGACGATGTCCACCGTGTGCCCCACAGACTGCATTGTGGGAGCAGGGACGGTGACTTACGCAGGGGTTTATAGTGCCAGTAGACTTGCGTAGCATCTACCTACACTCTCTCCTCCTCCCCCGCCTGAGCCCGGTGTCAAGACCAAGTCAAGAAGACCGGAGACGGGGAGGCCGCAGGTGGATGGCTCGGACGGATCCTCGCCTTGGCGCTCCACTCCGCACCCCCTGGTCCACACACAAATGACCAGGATTTTGACCACAAAACAATGGGGTGTTGGCAGTGGTCCAGTTGTGCGACGAATGCCGACAACAGGGTCCGCCAGCGCACCCCTCAAATGTTGGCTTTTTTTATTGCGCACAGATAACGCCTGCCAGAGTCCGATGTGGCCCCCGTGTTGGTCCAGCGCATCTAACACGTGCCCCGTTTTGAGGACACACACACACACACAGCCCTTCACTACATATGAACACACGCGACAACGCGGAATGCATTTCACCTACTTAACACTATGCCTCTTTCTTCTTCAGCAGGCATGCTATCCATTTAGCCGTCGCCAATACGAAGGACAAAACATCACGTATGAGAACATGCGCACCTCCCATAAGTGGGAAGCAAGTCCTCCGGAACAGCCTGATGCATAAAGTGGGAACGAGGTCACGTATGTTACACGTAGACGGACTGTTTAGCTTTTTCGATCACTGGGTACAATCGCAAAAAGAGCTGCTTGATAGGCTCGGACGGTAGACTAGTGCACGGGAGAGCGAAAACAGAGGGAGGTCGACATGTGGGAATCAATCGTCATGACAAATAAGTGCACCCATCACTATAATAAATCTGACCCACTTAACTCTACCACGACGCATTAAGAGTCGTGTCCTGGATGGCTGCGAAATGACGGGATAACTCGGCCCATCTCAGGATTGGTGGTCAGACCGCAATGACTCCTGCTGTTTAGAACCCGTATCGTATTCCAAAATCTGAACCGTACTCACGGTAGGCTGGTGAGTCTGGGGTGGGAACAGGTCGTATGTGACACGCGTGGTTGACTGTGTTACTCACTGCGCTCACGTCCCCCCTGATCGTCTTGACATTGTCTCGCCGTCGGAGCGAGGTGGGTGGAGTAGGAGAGAGTAGGGTAGGTACTATTCAATTCTACATCACTGCAAACTACTTCACGCCCCAGTCACCGCTGCACATCGCACATGGGACACGCGGTGGAGGTCGTCTCTTGCCGTTATTGTACTGTCGGGTGTGTATGTGTGGGCGCAGAGGTCTTTTGGCAGCATAGTTACAGACATCTGTTCAACGGACAAACAGGACTACTACCTGAGCCCAGCAGCCTTTGTGTGTGGGCCTTTGCGGTTCATGCCTACGCCCCTGGTGGTCCTCTCTCCGCCTGTTTGGCTACTCGTGCGTGCATACGCAAACCATTACCGGCGGCCACCCGCAGCCGGAGAGGTACGTTGGCAGTGTCGACGAAGAACGGGCACTAGGGGCAGCAGCTGTAATCCTAGTAGTAATACCGGCAGCAGTATTTAAATTACACGCAAGCTGTGCTGTAATTCGCCTCATTTACGTACGCGCACAAGCAGGGCGTTGTATGGCCACCAACAGTCGCTACCACTATGGCAGGCGCGCATGCATCTCTAACCTCGAGCTAAGAAGGCGAGAATATAACCACTGGCCAATCCACTAAGCGAGCGTCCTGCGCAGCGCGCAGCGTCTGTAA